AACAGAGCATTTGCAAACCTAGTGTTGGCCCCAGTAATCTTTAGCAACAGGCAAGTAGAGAGTTAGAAGCCAGCACATGGAGGTCACACTGCTCCCTTTCATCTCAGAAGGGTATGTATTTTTAGTGCATGAAGCCCAGTGCATCATTACTGTGAACTATTTATGGATTTTTGTCTGCATATATATATTTTTAAGATATCCTTATGTGTTCTGACTACTGTTAACATCAGTAGCTCTTTCTGTGTTCCTCTTAAGCATTTATTTGATTTCCATTCTTATGGTTTCTTCAGTGTGATTCATACAGGCTTTAGGATTTTCTGGTATGTGTTTAGGTGGTCAGAGAGGTGGCTTCTATCTGATCTATTAAGGAGGCATTATGTATTTATCAGAGATTGATAGAATGAGCAGAAGAAATTTAGTCTTGGTTAAGTGATGCTCTTGGGTTGCTCACTGAGCTGATGAAGAAGAATGAGATGTGCTTGGTTAGTTAGTAAATGTAAATTGTTGTATCACTTTGTATGTTTTGCTTGTGTGTTGGGGGTAAGAATTCTGCTCTATTTTTACTTGCCTTTTTTTACTGAGGAATATTCCAGTATCAGAAACTCTCTCGAATGATCCTGAGCTATTGAGTGAGGAGAATGTTTCACACTACTGCTTAAGAAACATGCTGAATCAATGAGACACACTACAGAAAAGATGCAAATGGCATTTTGTGTTTAATCTGCCTGAGACCCTGAAATCTCAGCATTGGTGTTATATTGTATTTTCAGTCTTACAAGAGGGTTGTTAATGCCTCAAAAATTGATGCATGCATAATACATCTGACAGACTTAAGAAGCATTGTGGTGACTTCAGTCAACTGTCTGTGCAGTAGCTTTACTAAACTAACCATGTTGGGAGCATCGCAGGTAGCTTTCTTTATACAGTAGGGAAAATATGTTTGGTTGGTGTGAATTGTCTTACAGCTTTCTTCTTATTTCCAGCTGTAAAATTGATTATTCCTTTGGATATCAGAAAACCCTATTACAGTACAAGAACTCTCCTTTACGACTTTCAACAAGCACACTCTAATTCTTCATATGTGTTTGTCTTGCATAATTACTAATCTCATCCCCTAAATAATCCATATCTCATTGTTGTTCACATGGTTGGGGTCAGCATAAAAATATAAGTTTCCTGATGATAATTTTCTCAAATTTGCTTACTCATGCAGCAGGGTCAGATCACAGAATCACAGAATTACAGAATTGTCTAGGTTGGAAGAGACCTCAAGATCATCGAGTCCAACCTCTGACCTGACACTAACAAGTCCTCCACTAAACCATATCACTAAGTTCAACATCTAAACGTCTTTTAAAGACCTCCAGGGATGGTGACTCCACCACTTCCCTGATGCTACTTATTAGAATCCCAAGCTTTCTTCTTACCTTCCATTTGGTATAAAAAGTACTTCTGTTTTAGTGTATCTCCATCTTAGTTTCATTACATCTTGTGTTGCTTTTATTTTTCATCTTTATTATATTTTACAGTCCATAATAACCTGATTATTCAAAGCTCTTGGTGCTGTTTGAGCAAATTTCCTTTTACAACAGTTGTATTGTTCTCTCCACAAAATCCCAGCTATACATATTTCTTCTCTTGTTTGGTTATGCAAGTAGGTATATATTCTAGTCCTCTAAACTGTGATCCATCTTTTCAACTGTAGCTGTTTAGTAAGCAAAGTGTTTGCCACAGAGATACTTCTCTTTCCTTTTCTTTACTTCTCTTGTCTTTTCAAATTTTCTTTTTTCTTTACTCTCTTTTCTTTACCTCTTTTACTTCTCTTTCCTTCTTTAGTCTTTTCAACTTCCTATTGTATTTTGGACCTTTTTACCTTTTTTTTTTTTGTAAGAACAGAAAATAGAAAAAAATATTATGAAGCATTTTTCCCCTCATTTTACCAAGCTGTATTATATCATATGCATGGGTTCATCAAATATATTTAAAGCATCCCTCTACCAGTGTTACCTGTGAAACTTTACTACATAATCTGCTTATTGTAGATGACATGAGCTAAGCACAGATCATGCAGTGGAGATGTTTGTGAAATACATACATTGTTCTTTGTTTAAACCTTTTTTGTTTTTAATCTTCAACCTATGTGGAAGTTATCTTCTTACTAGGATGATAAAGAAAGCCCATTTGGTCTAATTTATATGTAAAACAATATTTTTTCATTGTAGTTCATTTTGTACATCTTACAGCGTTTTTTTTTTGTATAGCATTTATATTGGTTACTTTGGCTTAGCTGTGTGATTTTCTTTTATGAATGCTTTACTTGCTAAAATGTGCCGTCTCACCTGTGCCAAAACTATTTTTGTTTTACCTAATGTAAAACCGCACTTACATTGTAAATTGCCAGTAAGAAATGCATGAAAAGTCTTTTTCTTACATAAAGGCAACTGTAAGGATAATGGTGTTGCCAAGTGACATGATTTTATCCTAAAATTAGAAACCTTCTTAAAACTACCTTGTGACTGAATTAGTTCTGCTGTTTGCCATGCAGTGTTTTGTCCTTTTCCATCGCTAGAATTATTTACAGAATTGGAGATTCATGTTCATCTAGTTAGTGCATATCCCATCTCACTATAAAATTTGAAAGCAAAAGTTAAGTGAGCTCTTGCAGACTCCATTTCCTGCACCTGAAGGAAGCTGTTGAGACTGAGGGGTACATGATACGTGACTAGAGAATGATGGTACGTGACTTTCTGAGAAGCAGCAGAAAAATGCAGTTCAATTAACTTGGTGGGAAGGGGAGAATAGATAATGGAAAAACTTGTAACAGGAAGTCACAGAAGTACAATAAGCAAAGTGAAGGGGTCCAAAGAAGAGGAAGAGGTGGCAGAGCAGTGTCCATAGGAGTATGAGAAGCAGGACATACAGTGTAGGACAGTCATCAGAGAGAAGAGCAAAATAATGCTGTAGAAAATGAAGGAAAAACTAAGAAACAGTTTGTATGCCGTTTTTCTTCCAGAAAGCTTTAGGAATATTAAACTCATATCCTTTCCTGGTTTTTGTCCTTTTTGGTCCATTTTGTGATGTGGTGTATTTTCTTTGCTAGTGCAATCTGTTAGTCTTTTTGCTAAGGTGACATTTTAAATGGATCTGTATTTATTCCCTGTAGAAAATGTGAATTGCTGTTTTTGTGTGGCTGTGGCTGTGCAATATATGCCATGTAGGTCAACTGCCACAGAGAATTTGGCTCGGGCTTTGTCTCCACCCTGCAGGTGGCCGTGGCCAAGCGTGACAGTGCTGATTTGCACATCACTTTGAGGACAGTTACTGTTCTAGATCTTAAATGACTGAATATTAAGATGGTTCTGTACGAGTAGTTCCTGCTAGCTGTTTCCCTTTATTTAAGATGTTTGAACTCAACATACGTGGTACCCTTCTGTACCTAAAGATGAATTTCTTTGTTTTCTACAGCCTTTTCTGTCTCTATTTGCTTTCGTTTCTTTGTATTTTAGTTTTCTTACATTCCTCTAGAAACAGTGGGGGAAGACCACAGTGCATTACGAAGGGTAGACTAACTCATTCCAGAAAAGGAATTATAGTTTTGTATTTTTAGAATTGGTACTGGATCCACAATGACAAGAAGTGTACAAAAAGGTATATTAAGTGCTTTAGAAGGCCTGTGCAATAATATGTGGCATATCTGAGAGTAAAACTGGTTGGAGCAGAAGCAGTTTAGAACAAAGAAGGAAGAACCTCTGGCATCTGCAAGGCAGGTGGTTTGGAGTTTGATTATGGTCTTGCAGAGGAGTTGAAGTTGCACTTGTAACATCTGGATGATTTAGTTTCAGTGGGCCATTCGTAAGGCTATAAAAAGTAGCATGAAAAGCACGAGCACATGCACACAAAAAAAAAAAGAAAAAGGAAAGGAAAAGGGAGAAGCTAAACAATTTTTTCAGTCAGAATAACTGACAAAACAGGAAAAGGGAAGAATTCTAAGCCTGAGTTTTATATGGTTTTGTTGGTTTGTTTGTTTTCAGAATGGCAAATTCTGTACTTGTACTGTGTCACGCTGGATTGACTTCCTCAGATAATTGAAAGTTGGTTTTTTTTGAAAACTAGCATCTGTCCTAATGCAACATTTTCATAATGAAAGTTAATGAAAACTGACATATATATTGTTTTTTCTTCTGGAGCTGTTCAAATAAAAAGTTATATTAAATATTTCAAAACCCTCTGCAGGCTTCAACTGGAAGAAATGGTTCTTGTCAAAGAACGTCTCATTACATACAGCGTCATGGTAAAAGGCTCAGGCAGGTGTGACCTCACCATGAGAGTAGACAATACTAGATTCTTTAGAAAAGATGCATGAACTAGTAGTAATGAAATATTTTGATTTCATCAAAATCTGTTAGGTGAAGATGGCCTTAAAATTTGAGGCATGAGAACTTGAATTCTGTCTCTAAGTCAAGTTATTGTTCCCTGTTGTAAGTCTAGATACTGTCATCTACATATTAAATGTCAAACCCATTCTTAGAATCTGATGTTCTTATTTTGTTTTGTCAAGTTCTAGAGCGTATTTGGTGAGGGAAAAATGATTTCATTTGCAGTGTCGATGACATGAGATATATTTATTTTTATTATGAGATGTTACTTCTTGTTCATTATGCAGCAGAGAGAAGCTTCTCAGTCTATAGATGTATATACTGGGAAGGTATTTATATATATATATTATATAGCATATATGTATATATACTATATAATGTGCATTTGTGTATATATACCTATATATGCACTAAGATTTGTATTTTTCTTTCATACAAATGTCGAGTTCTGTGTATGTCAAAATAGTTTTTCGATCTCAGTGCATGCTAATACACTTCAACATTTCATTCTGTGTTGAGCTATCCATGGATCTCAGTGAATATCAATTAAGACAAGGAAGTATTTACAGGGAAAAGAAACAACATACTGATTAATTCTCCTCTTACTTTACACTTGTTTTGCAGGCCAGACTTCAAAAAACATCAGTTCATCTCCAAGCATAGAGAGCTTGCCTGGAGGACGTGAATTTACGGGATCTCCACCTTTGTCTGCATCAAAAAAGGATTCATTTTTCAGTACAATCTCCCGTTCTCGTTCCCAAAGCAAGACTATGAGCAGAAAAGAGTCTGTGAGTTCTTTAACTTTTTAAACTATTTTAATGTCACACTGCATTACTTGTTAGAGCCAATCATTTCTCTCATTCATTAAGCACTTGTACTTGAAAATGTTTCCCTCAGCTCAAATTAACAGCAAAAGCAGAAATAAGCTATTTAAACTGTTTCTGTTGAGTAACATCTCCATTATAGATTCCATCCCATAATCCTACTTGAGCTGAAACTGTGAAAGTGCCTCATTCCTCTGAGAAAGAGGAAAGAACTCCTGTAAGTTACTTTGCTTTGTTAGACTTTTGGTTTAACCCTGAAGTTAATAAACAGTTCAGTGGGGAGCGTGAATGCTCAGCAGATCCAAACATGTCCATCTGTTATCCCTGAAATTCTTTAATACATACGAGATTTCCCAGTGTCTGTAGCATCTGTAGTCTGTAGTCACAGTTTTATTTCTCACACAGCCCTGACCTTCCTTTTGGCCACAAGACATTTTTTATTTAAACAGAATATTTTCATCCAAGAAAAGCAGTTTGAATTAATCATAGGTGTGTTCCAAAGAAATTCTCATCCAGTCAGTGATATTTTAGGAGCACTAATTTGGTAAATCTCATATGCCTTGGAGCAGGAGGATTCTTGTTTATTTTACATAACCGTTCCCCATTGGCTTTCTGCTGATTAGAACCCAGCTAGCATAGACTGAAAAAGTTGTATTTTTTGCGAGATGAAGGCAGGTTTTTTTCTCTTCCATTTTTATCAATGTATATTCATATAACTTCCCTTTGATTTCAATAAAAATGAATTGTAATAGCAATATTCTTATACTGCAGCATTCTTCAGATATTCAGAAATCTTAGAAGCAGAGCTAAATTCAGTGCAAAAATTAATCTGAATATCTCATCATTTTTGTCCTTAAGCAGCAGAAGCGTTATTAATAGTCACATTATATTTTCAATTTGATACTTACAATGTTTTAATGAAATGCATAACTTTGCACAACTTTTTTTTCAGTTTTTATTCACTAAAAAATAAAGGTTTAATTCTTGTTCTGCATTCTTCGTTGATACCTGAAGAAAAATTGTGCATTGTAGTTAGTTAACAAGAAGCCTTAATTTTGGGTTGTATCCATTTAAGATACATCAGAATGAATTTAAAGCTAAAACCAACTCAATATCTTTCTGCTTGTCCTCAAGAGTTGAAGAAAAATGAATATACCAATATTAAAATTCTCCTTTTATTCAGTTTAACAAGATCTAAATCCAAATTTTGTTTACAACGTTTATCCCTGGCAGGACTTAGGTTTTTTGCACTTAAGTAGAGTTTAAGAATAATTCCTCCTCAGTTTTCTAATAGGAGACATAGAAGAATTTTTCATGATAACACTCAGAGTCATTTAGAGTCTATTAATGACCAATATATTTTCAGGTTAATAATTTCCCTTATTAGTGAACTTTTATTAATCTTTATCAAGGATTTTGAACAAAGCTGCTAATTGAAACATATTTGTAGTCCTTATGATAATTTTCAACAGTTTGGTGGTCATGATAATCTAAGATGAGCATTGATTTTTAAAGACATTGTTTGAACTGTGATAAACTTTACATTGTAGCCTTGAATGACTGAATGGCTAGGAAAGGTTTTAGGCTACCAAAATCTGTGTCTCCTTGTGTTTGTTTCTGACTGACTTTTGATATAGGAAAAAAAATAAATTATAGAAGGTCTGAGAGGAGAAGTTTTGTTTAAGTCTGTTCTTTAATTCCTTAAGATTATGTTGTAGTTTTTATTTTCCTGTGAATTTCATGATCTCTAGTGTTCTATTTAAAGAAAACCCCAAAGAGTTCATCCTAACCTCCAGAAATAGTTGCATCAGAATTCTCCAGTCTTATGATTGCTTCCTTTACAGCTGTTTTCTAAAGGAAATAATAATAATAATAATAATAATAATAATAATAATAATAATAATAATAATAATAATAATAATAATTCATTTTATTTATAAAAACTGAACTGTTTTATATTTTTACATTTGTCTCTAGTAATCATAGAGATTGTATTACTAAGCATTGCAGAAATTACTTTTGTTGGAACATGGCCATGCATCTATCACTTTTTATAAAGATGCTTTTAAAAGCAGTCATTCTGTGTGTAATGGATGAAGGAGAATCCATTTCCCCTTCATCTTTGTAATTCTAATTAATGTCCTTCTCAAGGAAAAAGTAGGAATGGAATGCATACATAAAAATATGTCCTTCAACGTGGAATTAAAAAAGGTGATTCCCACATACCAGAGGACATTCCTGTGGCATTGTCAAAGGATGAATGGGAATGTCATCATCACCTGTATCACAGGTCCAGTTCTGGACTCCCCCATATAAGAGAAATGTAGACACACTGGAGGTTGTCCAACAAAGGGCCACAAAGGTGATGAAGGGACTGGAGTACTGCGTAGGGTGACCAAGCACTGGAACAGGTTGCCCAGAGATGTTGAGTCTTCCTCCTTGGAGATATTCAAAAGCTACATGGACATGGTCCTGTGCAACCAGCAGCAGATGGCCCTGTGTGGGTTAGACCAGCTGACCTCCAGAGGTCCCTTCCAACCTCAACCATTCAGTGATTTTGTGACAGGATAAAATGGAATGAGACTTGTCTAAATTCTTTCTTTCCTAAAGTCTGTCCAACGAGTTGGACTTTCTTTGGAAGAGTTATAATCATGATACTTAACTTGATTCATTGCCTCCAGGAACAGGATGTCTCCATTTCTCTTATTAAGGACTTAATAAGATATTAACATTTGTGTTATATTTAGTCTTCTGGATTTTTTTTTCTTCTCAAATCCAAAGATCAATTGAATGACATTTTTACTGCTGTTGACAGAAACAGATGTCCCCAGCTTTATTTAGTTAAGGAAGTGAATATATAGCCTCAGGGCTGAATGCACAATATCAGATCATATTTTGGCAACCGATGGCAGCCTGATGTTATTCACATTATTACTGAGAAGCATTAAGCTGTGTGCTAATGCGAGACCCTCCAAAAGTGTTTGAAAGTGTGTTTTGTTTTTTTTTTTGTGTTCAGCAGTGAAATACCTCTCTTCCTCCTTACTGCTTTCTGATAGGTTGCAATTTCTGGAGCCTCCTGACCATAAATAAGAATAGGAACATAGTAATTTATAATACAGTTCAGTGCCCGTTATCTTCTGGCTGGGTCAGTCTAGCTGGAATAAAGTTCCAGAAAATTTCCACTCATAGCCTGCTTGCTGCCCCCTCACTTTCATCAGAGTTGGGAGACTGGGTACATTTGTGGGCCATTCATTTGTGATTATGTTATATTCACTACTCCAGCAAACATCAAGGACAGTCTCTTTTCAGCAAACAGCAAAGCTGATTAGACCTTGCTTTTCTCAAATATGGTTGGCTGGTCTCAGTTTCTGGCAGAAAATATTGTAAATTGCTTTCAGCCATCGAGATGGGCCAGAGAGGGAACTTCAAGTCAAAAATTGCAACTGTTTTATAGAGATATTTTTAACCAAAAAGAAGATTTTCATTTAGATAAATTGTATATTTTAATAATTTCTAAATTAAAGGTCTCTAGTTAACAAAAATCAAATTATACCTTTGGAAAATGTGTTAATTAAAGAATTCCAAAGAAGGACACGTTTTTAAGGAAAATCTGGAGAAGTTTATTTTCTTTACTAAAACAATTTACAAATGTGGTCAAACAGAATCCTCGTTTTTAGCAAAAAAAATCCTGAACAAGGTGTCATCCATTATGCTGGTTTTGATTGCACAGACTTTTTAATTAAATTAAATTTGACAACATATGCTATTGTCCCCACAAGCAGGTAGAAACAACTGTTACTGCCTGTGATTTACATTTCAGGTTTATCTGATTTGAAGTTAGTTATGAGTACACCTACAGATTAGAAAATTAATGGATGCCATCATTTTTAATTAAGTAGGCATCTGCTTTACTGATTTTGGAGCCTCGTTTAAGCATGCAAGCTTGACAGTTTTGCTCAAGTAGAGGTAGGATAAGAAAATCAAAGGGATAATAAAAGAAACGTTAGAGAACCACACATAAAAACTCGTGCATGCAAAATTTATTTGAAGAAGAGCATACCTTTTGTATGATGCATGGTACTCACCTTGGAGACGTCTTTTATTCTCATATCTCTTTTCCTTGACTATTATTTTTTAAATCTCTTTAAAAGGCTTTAATCAAAATATTTGTCAGTCCATACTTAATCATGATGAACATTTGTTCAAAAACGTAAATGCTACGATGAAATGTCTTTTTTTAGTTAAACATCATGAAGTGTGCTCTGAACACATAAGTGTGTACAACACCCAATTTCATGGTCAGTGTGTATCAGGCCTAAAGTTAAAGGCATGATGATTGTTTCTCAGTGCCTTAGGTTTAATGACCTCCAATGCCTTAACATTTTACTTCAATTAATGTTGTAGGGCACATGCTTTTTTTTTTGCTTTTTTTTTTGCTTTTTTTTTTTTTGATGTGAGAAAACAATTCTGACACATTAAAATTGTAACTTAGTACTTAAGTTCATCTAATTTTAGAGATGGGTGAAAAGAATAGTAAATCTGAGGTGCTGCCATGTCACGTGAGCACAGTTCGTAGAAAAACCTCTGAGATACTTTGGAAGTATGATGCTCTTCTCAGTTTCCTTCCTCAGGCACCCACAACATGCTGTGACTCAAATAAAAGAGCTGAAAACAATGCAAGGGAAAATAAGCTGCCTTTTAAAGTTTTTCATTAGAAATAACTTGCAAGTTTCATATAATTTAGGAAAAAGACAGCTGTATGCATGAGTGGCAGCTTTGAATTCTAATGCTCCTTATCTTTTTCGGAGTGATTCATTTCAGGGAAAAGAAACTGTACTGTGATAAAAGCAGAAAGTTAATTGCTTAGGAAAAAAAAAAAAAAAGAGAGAGAGAGAGATGAATAAAAATCCAAGTGGCTCAGCAGTGCTTTTTTGTCATATTGTGAGCAATAAGTATGTATACAG